GTAGACACTTTGGAAAATGATCTGACAGTACCGCAAATGATTAAAACACAGGATTACCATACAATACAGCAATTCCAACTCCAGGGATGAGAAATGAAAACATATGGACATACAATCATTTATACATGAATGTCCAGAGCAGCATTATTCATAATAGCCAAAATGTAGACACAACCCAAATGTCCACCAAATGGTTAATAGATAAACAAAATAAGGTACAATCTACAACAGAATACTATTCAGCAATGAAAAGGAGTGAAATGCTGCTTTATGCTATAATAAAGATGAACCTTTAAAGCATCATTTTAAGTGAAAGTGAAAGTCACTGAGTTGTGTCCAACTCTTTGTGACCCTATGGACTATACAGTCCATGAAATTCTCCAGGCCAGCATACTGGAGCGGGCAGCCTTTCCCTTCTCCAGCAGATCTTCCCAACCCAGGAATCGAACTAGGGTCTCCTGAATTGCAGGTGGATTCTTTACCAACTAGGCTATCAGGGAAGCAAGAAGGTAATCACAAAAGACTATATACTGTATGATTCCATTTATATGCAGTGTTCAAAACAGGTTAATCTCTATAGACACAAAGCAGATTAGTGGCTGCCTAGGGCTGGGATGTGGGGAGTGGTGTGGATTTCTTATGAGGTAACAAATGTCCTAAAGTTGACTGTGATGACAGCAGCACATATCTGTGAATATTCTAAAAGGCTATTGATTCGCATACTGTAAATGGGTAAATGTATATTATGTAAAATACATCTCATAAAGTTGTCTAAAAAAAAGATTTACTCTAATGCAAAAGGCCATCAACTGATGACAAATAGAGTATATTAAATACTCATAAGATGAAATATTTTACTTATAATAAAAAGGGCCAAAAAAAAAAAAGGGCCAAAATACTAACTCATGTAACAACCTGGATGGACCACAGAAACACGATGCTAAGAGAGAAAAAGCAGCCAGGCACAAAAAAACACATGTTGCACGATTCCCTCATATAAAATATTCACAAAAGGCAAATCCACAGAGATATAGAGCAGATTAGCAGTTGTTGGGGATTAGAGGTGGGAACAAAAAGTGACTATACGTAGGCACAAAGGATCTTCCTGGGGTGATAGAAATGATAAAACTGCACTGTGATGAGAGACTCACAACTGTAAAATTACTGAAAAATAACTCAATCATATACTTAAAACATTATTTTTTGATCTGTAAAGTATATTTCAATAAGGCTGTTTTATAAAAAAAGTTTATTATAAAAATATTTTAAAGAGACAAATAACTGAATTATAGGAAAAGGAGTACATCAAGGCTGTATATTGTCACCCTCCTTATTTAATTTATATGAAGATTACATCAAGAGAAACGCTGGGCTGGAGGAAGCACACGCTGGAATCAAGATAGCCGGGAGAAAAAAAAAAAAAGATTGCCGAGAGAAATATCAATAACCTCAGATACGCAGATGACACCACCCTTATGGCAGAAAGTGAAGAAGAACTGAAGAGTCTCTTGATGACAGTGAAAGAAGAGAGTGAAAAGTTGGCTTAAAGCTCAACATCCAGAAAACTAAGATCATGGCATCTGGTCCCATCACTTCATGGCAGATAGATGGGGAAACAGGGGAAACAGTGGTTGACTTTATTTTTTGGAGCTCCAAAATCACTGCAGATGGTGACTGCAGCCATGAAATTAAAAGATGCTTACTCCTTGGAAGGAAAGTTTTGATCAACCTACACAGCATATTAAAAAGCAGAGACATTACTTAGTCAACAAAGGTCCATCTAGTCAAGGCTATGGTTTTTCCAGTGGTCATGTATGGATGTGAGAGTTGGACTATAAAGAAAGCTGAGCACAGAAGAATTGATGCTCTTGAACTGTGGTGTTGGAGAAGACTCTTGAGAGTCCCTTGGACTGCAAGGAGATCCAACCAGTTCATCCTAAAGGAGATAAGTCCTGGGTGTTCATTGAAGGACTGACGCTGAAGCTGAAGCCCCAATACTTTGGCCACCTGATGCGAAGAGCTGACTCATTTGAAGAGACCCTGATGCTGGGAAAGATTGAGGGCAGGAGGAGAAGGGGACGACAGAGGATGAGATGATTGGATGGCATCACCGACTCAATGGACATGGGTTTGGGTGGACTCCGGCAGTTGGTGATGGACAGGGAGGCCTGGCATGCTGCGGTTCATGTGGCTGCAAAGAGTCAAACACGACTGAGTGACTGAACTGAACTCAGTTATTAAAATGGGTAAAATATATGAACAGGCAAGTTAAAGAAGAGATAATATGAATGAACCAAAAGACAAAAAAAATTTTTAACCTCACTAGTAATAAGAGAACTAGCTACTAACTAAAACCACAACGCACTCAACAGATAGACAAAACTCCCTGGAAACAACTCAAATGTCCATCCATCAAGAGAAGAATAAACAAATAGATGATATGATCAAAAAGTGGACTAATATCTGGTAGTGGAAATGAATGGATTTAATTTACATATATATATTACAATGCCACTTAAATAAAATTTAAAATCATGCACAACAATACTAAAAATAGCCTAAGGAAAAATAAATACAAATTCAGGATAGTGATCCCATAGGGTGAGGAGCAAGGGAAATGTGATCAGGAATGGGCTGACAGAAGATTTCAACTGAATTGGTAACATGTAATTTTTTTAAGTAGAGTAGTTGGTGCATAAAGGTTTGATTCTTCATAATTTTTTGGTTTGCTTGAACCATTTCACTACAAATTAAAAATTTTTTAATTTACTCTAAAATATTTAATTTACTGCCATAGAAAAGAAATAAATTTGGAACAAATTTTTTAATTATTGAAATTAAATTCAGAGGCCATAAAATTCAAGCTCTTAAAATGTACAATTCAGTGATCTTTAGCATTTTCACAAAATTGTACAACCATCACCACTATTTAACTCCAGAACATTTTCCTTACCTCAGAAAGAAACCCCATTCCCATTATCAGCCACTCCCAATTCCCCAGACCCAGCCTCTGGCAACCACTAACCTACTTTCTTTGTCTGTGAATTTGCCTAGTGTGAACATTTCATTTAAGTGGAATCACATGATGAGTACTCTTTTGTATCTAGTTTCTTTAAAAATTAAAAAAGTCACAATTTTAAAGTGCTCATTCATGCTGAAACATGTATATCCGTACTTCATTCCATTTTATGGATGAAAAATATTCCATTATATGAATATACCACACTTGTTAATCCATTCATCAGCTGATAGACATCTGTTATTTTCACATTTTGGCTATTATGAATAGAAGAAGAAAGTTGCTCAGTTGTGTCCAACTCTTTGCGACCAGGCCAGAATAGGAGTGGTAGCCTTTCCCTTCTCCAGGGGACCTTCCCAACCCAGGGATCGAACCCAGGTCTCTTGTGTTGCAGGCGGATTCTTTAACAGTTGAGCTAGTATGAATAATGACGCTATAAACATGTGTACAGATTTCATATGAACATATTTTCACTTCACTTGGGTACATAACTATGAGTGGAACTGTTCAGTCCTATGATAACTTAAAGCTCAACATTCAGAAAACTAAGTCGGTCCCATCACTTCATGGGAAATAGATGGGGAAACAGTGGAAACAGTGGCTGACTTTATTTTTGGGGGCTCCAAAATCACTGCAGATGGTGACTGCAGCCATGAAATTAAAAGACACTTACTCCTTAGAAGGAAAGTTATGACCAAACTAGATAGCATATTAAAAAGCAGAGACATTACTTTGCCAACAAAGGTCCATCTAGTCAAGGCTATGGTTTTTCCAGTGGTCATGTATGGATGTGAGAGTTGGACTGTGAAGAAAGCTGAGCACCAAAATATTGGTTTTGAACTGTAGCACTGGAAAAGACTCTTGAGAGTCCCTTGGACTGCAAGGCGATCCAACCAGTCCACCCTAAAGGAGATCAGTCCTGGGTGTTCATTGGAAGGACTGATGCTGAAGCTGAAACTCCAATACTTTGGCCACCTCATGCGAAGAGTTGATTCACTGGAAAAGACTCTGATGCTGGGAGGGATTGGGGGCAGGAGGAGAAGGGGACGACAGAGGATGAGATGGCTGGATGGCATCACCAACTCAATAGACATGAGTTTGAGTAAACTCCGGGAGTTGGTGATGGACAGGGAGGCCTGGCGTGCTGCGATTCATGGGGTTGCAAACCGTCGGACACGACTGAGTGACTGAACTGAACTGAACTGATGATAACTCCATGTTTACCTTTTTAGTGAAGTGAAATTGCCCAGTTGTGTCCGACTCTTTGCGACCCCATGGACTGTAGCCCACCAGTCTCCTCCATCCATGGAGTTTTCCAGGCAAGAGTACTGGAGTGGGAACTGCCAAATGATATTCCCAATGCAGCTGTACCTTTTAACATGAAATATAATTCTGAAAGCTATTTACTCTTGTAAATGTTTTTAACAGTATGATGTCAGTATAAATGTATTGAAATAAATTTTAAAGAAGAGTATTTACCCCAATGACATCTGGGCCTAACAGTAATGGATTTCATTTTTGTCCAAAAGATGTTATTATATAAGATTATAATCATAGAGAACAAATAATTTGTATAAATATTTTTTCACTTTTACTGTATATTTAGGAAGTCATTTCCATAACTCATTTACTCAAACTTACTTCTTCATGATGATGATTTGACCAAAAACTATAAAGTAGATTCAATATTATCATACATGTTTAGGAAGCCTACAGTATTGCAAATGCCTTTATCAATTTCTCCTAAGGATATGCTTTCAGCAGTGGCATATGCACTTAAGAGAATCTGAACTGCTTAAGATTCAAAGTAAATGATAAAATTAACAGCTTATACTTTCCAATTTTCAAAGTAAAAAGATTTTGATGGTTTAGAATTTAAGATTAGTAATTCCAATCTTGAAGTATCAGTTTAAAAGACAAAATTATTTTAAAAGACTAAGTACAAATATTAACTAAAATATTAGTGACTTAAATTACCAACCTTATATATATCCTCAATACATCTACTAAGTTGTTCTTCTGTCACCAAAATGGTCCCTGGCACCACATCACTCTCTGGAATCTCTAAAGGACAAAAACCAAAATTACTTATGCTTAGCATCTCCATGGGCCTAAGGAAAAATGCTTTACTAGAAAGTCTGGGAAGTAACAGCTAAAATTAGAAAATCAACATGGTTACAATACAGCACCATTCAAATACAATATTTCACAAGAATGTTTCACTGATTACAAACATGCATTGTTATTTTATGTATCAATAAGAAAGGGGAAAAAAAGCACTTCCAAGTAACTTATGAAACATTATCACTTAGAATTCTAATTTTAAATTAATGAGTGGGAAGTTGCAGATTAAATTAAATGAAAATGGCAGAATCAATAGCTGTATCAGGGTTACTGGTACACAGATGTTCATTATACTATTCTCTGTACATGTATTTGAAAATTTCCCTATAAAATTAAAAAAATTAAAAATTTAAATTAAAAAAATTTTTTTAATTTGAATTTTAAAAATATAAAAATTTAAAATTTAAAAGCTGAACTTTTAAAACAGAGCTTTATAAAAAAATTATTGAGAACTTAGATTTATTTTACACAGTTTTGTTATATATCATTCTTTTTTTTTTTTTTTTTTTGCTATTCTGCATGGCATACAGGATCTTAGCTCCCTGACCAGGGATTGAACCTGTGCCCCCTACAATGGAGGCATGGAGCCCTAGCCACTGGACCGCCAGGGGAAGTCCCTATCATTCCTGATAAAAGCTAAATAATTGGAATAAATAGGATAAAGAATTAAAACTTCCCATTAATTAGTGTCCAACTCTTCTGAAACATTTTTGGTATCTGTGTTGTGCCATAATATATTGACCTCTGAGCCACAGAGTGCAGTGATGTGACATCCTCAAGAGCCCTTGGCTTTACTACTATCGTCATAATTTTCTTCAAAGTCAATGACATCCATTTCACAAGTTTTAACTTGCAGGCATAGACAATATCACAGTTGCTACCTGGCCAACAATGATAGTGAGACGCAGCTAGATATTAGAGTTGCTACAATGTGAAAGAGATTTCCAAAATAAAGTTTTTTTAATGTGAAAAAAAAGTGCATCTTGGAATTGATAAAATATGGTAATTCATCATATTGACTACATATCCCTAAAAAATGTGCTATAATATGAAAAACAAATAAGAAAGCATGTACGTTAGATTGTTTTTCCAGTGGCAATGATGGGGTTTACGTATAAGATCAGTCATATTCTAACTCAGTCCTTTTTGTTATCAACCGATGTTATATGCAAAACATGTAGCTGGCATTACAGATGTAACTTAACGCGTGAGAATGCCTGGTAAAGAGATGCTCAATAAATATTCTTTGAATGAATGAACAAGAAACAGGACAAAAATAACTGACCCACAACTGGAATGAATCTAGGCCTGCCAAGCATGGTGCTCTAGCAGTAGTGTCAGTCACTCAGTCATATCTGACTCTTGCGACCCCATGGACTATAGCCTGCCAGGCTCCTCTGTCCATGGAATCTTCCAGGCAAAGAATACTGGAGTGGGTTGCCATTCCCTTCCCCAGGGGATCTTTCCAAGCCAGGGATTGAACCCAGGTCTCCTGCACTCCAGGCAGATTCTTTACCACTGCGCTACCTGGGAAGCCCTAGTGTTTTAGACCAGAGCTCAAACTGGAACACACACTTGAATTACCTAGTGGGCCAGTCAAAACAGTCCTGGGCGCAACATCAGAGTTTCTAACTCTGTAGGTCTGAGGCGGAGCCCAAAAAGTTGTATTTCTAATAAATTCCCAGGTGATGCTGATGCTTCTGGTCTTGGGACCACACAATGAGAACAACGGCTCCAGACTAAAGGAAATACCTGGTCAGTCACAGGCAAGAAGATAAACAGACTAGGAATGAGGTATGGTCTCACATGAAATTAGATATAAATGAAGTCCTAGGCCTTGTTGACAAGTGCCAATAGAAATAATACTTCATTTCTTGAGTTATTTTTTGAGGAATACACTAATCCCAGACTAGATTTCTATTAAATACATAAAGGAATTTTAATTATTTATCCAAATAGCATGTTTATCATGTTTGAATAATCATAAGTTTCACTTCACCAAAGCTCAATTTGGTGAAGCTTTACTAGCACAAGAATTAGGCTTTCTTTATTCTCACCCACTGAATATTCACTGGAAGGACTGATGCTGAAGCTGAAACTCCAATACTTCGGCCATCTGATGCAAAGAACTGACTCATTTGAAAAGACCCTGATGCTGGGAAAGATTGAGGGCAGGAGGAGAAGGAGAGGATAGAGGATGAGATGGTTGGATGGCATCACTGACTAAACGGACATGAGTTTGAGTAAACTCCAGGAGTTGGTGATGGACAGGGATGCCTGGCGTGCTGAACGAAGAGTCGGACACGACTGAGCAACTGAACTGAACTGAACTTAAACCCCTCTACACACATTCAGAAACATTTATACTATAAATGACTTCTATACAAAGTCTACACAGAACTAAACTGGGCTTAACCACACATCAATTTTTCTCTTTATTTTGAACCTCAGAAAATACTATTATGGAAAGGTTTTGTTTTTTTAAAAAACTCACTAAAAATGCTGAAATGATACTCTGTATCCTAGTACTAACCTCAATAAAGCATGAAAATATACAGAGGGAAATGGTTAAAAGACATTAAAATACAAGCTCAAGAGGGAGGGAATGTATATGTACAGTTATGACTGATTCCTGTTGTTGTAGGGTAGAAACCAACACAACACTGTAAAGTAATTATCTTCCAATTAAAAATAAAAACACACACACTTAAACTCTCTGGCCAAATCTGGGAAAATCTGAGCATCAAAATGAATATAGGAATATTCAGTCATCCACTGAATTAAAGAAGAATCTGAATCTGTATGGGTATTTAAATAAAATTTTTTTTAAAGAGATGAGGCAAGGAGGAAATAAAAGCTCTTCCTTACAGAAGAGTATCAACTAACAAAATAGAAACAATTAAAAAAGAAAAAGAACGTCACCATTTTATTGGCAAAAATTATCAGGGGATACCAAACCACAGTATGAAGGACAGTTCGGAAACAGGATATTCACACTGTCTCATATGTCAACCATCCCACAGAATATTATTAATTAAAAAGGGAGGAAGGTATTTTTACAGTTGATAAATCTGGTTGCTACCACCTTAATCAAATAATCACATTTAACTTCACTAATGGAATAAACTGATGACATGTGTCCATCTGAAAAATAAAATCAGATACAGTATTCCTGCCAAAATGTTTAACCTAGATCTAATCACAAGCAAACAATTAGACAAATACAAACTGAAAAAGAGTGTATAACCTGGGCTTCAAAAGTGTCAGAGTGAAAGACCATTAGGGAAATTCTACATTAAAGAATTAATGTAATAAGTAAATGCAATATAATTTAAAAAAAAACAGATATAAAAGAAATTCTTCAGACAAATAAGAGATCTGAATAAAGTCTATATATTAGAGGATGTCTGGAACTAACTCTCAAATGCTTCAGGAAAAAACATGTATGTATGTAGGAAGAGGGAAAGAGAAAGTGAACATGCCAAAGTGTTAATTATGTGACGTATACAGGGGTGAGACGATGCATCCTTCTTAGAACTTCCATGAAGTGGATTTTTCAAAATAAAAAGTTGAGGAAAAAACAAAACTAAAGACACTGAACTACACAGACTTAAGTCATTTAAATCCAAAACACAGAAGAAGGTCCTTTAGAGGGTCCTCAAACTACCAAACTTCCTTGTTTACCTGCTGTATTTAAACATCGATGAAGAGGCGCTAACACAGGCTGAAGTAAGTACTTGGCTGCCAGTTGTGGCTGTTCTCTTGACATAGTTACAAAGGTTGTGGTGGCAACTCTCTGAAACTGTCGTGCTGCCAATTTATCTTGAAAGTGAAATAAATCCAAAATCTAAAAGGAAAATTCCATAAGGTAAATACCAGGCTCTTTGTAAGAAGCACTACAACAACTAAGAAAAGAACACATTTCACATTAATTTCTTTACACCAAAAAATAAACTCACTGCAGTAACACATATCCAACAGAACTGTTTTTTTTTTAATTAATTTAACAAGCCAGCACCATAGGGTATAAGAACTGAAGGAGCTATGTTTTATTAAACAATTTTATCAGATTTATAAAATATGTGTTATTTGTAGAAAATTTGGAGAATAATTTTTAAGAAAAAAAATTAAATTCCAAATTACTATAAACACTTTTGGTGTATTTTTTCCAATATGTTCCCTGTATAATTCTTTCCTCTTTTCAATTGAGACCATACTTAATATTCAATTTTGTGTATTGCTGAAACCTTCTCATATTGTTAAAAATATTATTTCCAGATATTCAGCTTTTCCCCCAAATTTTGCTGTGATAAATAGCAATTATGGGGTCAAAGAATATAAATATATTCAGAATCTGAAGAGCCTGTCAGATCTGACCAAGGGTCTACTTTATTCTCAAAAAATAAACATTAGAAAACAAAAACCAAACCAACCAACCACTGATCTCTCATGTTTGAGTCTAAGCACCCAACAGAAAAGTGCATTCTGTTCCTGGCTTGAAAGTGACTCAAATGTTTTGTAGACAGGAGAACCCGCTGTCCCAAAACTGTATGTGACCTGTGATGCCGCCAAAAACAGGCTCAGCAGGACTAAAACCTATGACTTGATTATCTCATTTCCTTAAGTGCCAAAATTATAGCTACTAGTTTTAGAAAATGTTTAGTCATCATTGTAAATAGCTTTATCCTGTAAGATAATTTCTCCTTAATATCTTCCAGTGTAAGATTTTACATCATGATATTTGTTCCCATGCATGCTTCCCCATGAGAACCTGAAGACCAGCATAACAGCGGAATGACTTTCTTTACACTGTACTCCAAAGGCATATCTTACATCTAAAAGCATGTGGAGTGGTGACACATTTTCACCTATCAGATTAACAAAGAAAAGTTTTGTAACACACTGTGCAGGCAAAGGTGTGGGAAAACAAATACATATATAATATCAACCAAAAATTTAAATACATATACTCTTTAAGCAAATCATTTCGATTCTAAAAATTTTCCCTATTAACTGGAGCATTGTAACAGCAAAACAATGGAAACAATTTAAATGTCCATTAACAGGAAGCTGGTTAAATAAATTATGGTACATAATATGATGAAATACTATGCACCCAAGAAAAAGAATGAGACAGCTTAATATGAAATGGTCTCCAAGGTACATTGTTAAGTGAAAAAAGCAAAACTGAAAAATAGTGTGTGCAACATATTATCATTTGGGTAAAAATTAGAATATAAAAACAAATACATACACATATAATTGTATACACGATTCACAGATTGTCTCTGCAAAATAAATAAGAAATTGGTACAGAGACAGGAGAGAGACTTATTTTTCCGCTTACTCTTTTGTGCTTTTTAAAATTGTATACCATGTTAATTTACCTTTTTTATTTACTACATATTTTAAAAAAATAATTAAAAACACAGAAAAGACGGGATAGGGAACATATGTAAATCCATGGCTGATGTCAATGTACGACAAAAACCACTACAATATTGTAAAGTAACTAGCCTCCAACTAATAAAAATAAATGGAAAAAAAATTTAAAAATATAAAAAAACCTTTGGGAAAAAAAAACACAGAAAAGATAATAAATACAACAAAACTATAGCTTCATATTCCAGTTTTGAGGGCAAGCTAGTCAGTTACTAATGATGGAAGTGAAAGTCACTCAGTCGTGTCTCACTGTTTGCAACCCGATTGATACAGTCCATGGAATTCTCTAGGCCAGGATACTGGAGTGGGTAGCCTTTCCCTTCTCCAGGGGATCTTCCCGACCCAGGGATCAAACCCAGGTCTCCCATACTGCAGGCAGATTCTTTACCAGCTGAGCCACAACGGAAGCCCAAGATTACTGGACTGGGTAGCCTATCCCTTCTCCAGGGGATCTTCCCGAACCAGGAATTGAACCGGGGTCTCTTGCAGTGCAGGTGGATTCTTTACCAACTGAGCTATGAGGGAAGCCTAACAGATCAGTCTCTCCCACAGGTTTTTAATGTTATTAAGAAAGTCCTTCACTGAATAATAAACATTATATTAACTCAATACTGTTGTTGTTTAGTCACTAAGTCATATCCGACTCTTTGCAACACCTTGGACAGACAGGATTTTCCAGGCAAGAATACTAGAGTGGGCTGCCATTTTCTTCTCCAAGAAGATCTTCCCCACCCAAGGATCAAACCCGCGTCTCCAGCACTGCAGGCATATTCTTTACCGCTGAGCCACTGGGAAAGCCCCTAACGCAATATTAGGTGAACATTAAAAGTCCTCTTTCTATAAGTAAGCAGATAATTCTCAAACAGACAAAAGAAACATGATTTACCTGGGGGCAGATATCTCTATAATAATCCTCTGGTGAAAGAGACTGCTGGGGACAAGAGGCTAAAATCTTTGCAATCAAGTCACACTTCTTCCAGTCGGCAGCTGTGGCCTCTGCATCACTCCCTCCAGCTGCCCCGGCTGTCAACAATGGATACAGACGTCAAAAATTCATAGCACCTCACCACATAAGGTCCTTAAATTAGAGGAGAAACTGTTTTCTTCCCTATTGAAAGTCGCTGATTTCTTCTGTAAGATAAACTACCTCTTTGTACTTTCCTTTTGATGTTGGTCTCTGGCAAGTTCAGAGGAAAAAACAGCACTTAACCATTGTAATAAGAGTATTCATATTATCTGAACACTAGTTTCTTCATTGTGCTTATTACTGACATGTTTTAAATGATTAGTATTTCTATTATTCTCTCTCTTTATATGCATCATGTCATTCAAATTGCCTTAAACTAGAGTTAGGGAGTAACAGGTATCAGATTTACCTTACCCCCTTAGAAAAAATATGTAAACGGTGGCTTTCAGACACTGGACAAAAGCAGCCCAAGACACTGGTCCCTAAGAGAAGGGAAGCAAACAAGGTGAGCCCCATGAACACCCTAGCCTACTACCTTCAGAGAGGATTTTTTTTTTTTTAATTTTTTTGTCCATACTATGAGGCAGGTTAGGAACTCAGTTCCCTGACCAGGGATTGAACCAGTGCCCCTGCACTGGGAGCATGGAGTCTTAACCACTGGAGCGCCAAGGCAAGTCCCTAGAGAGTTTTGAGGCCACACCACAGGTAAAGGAGAATCCAATGAAGCCTGCTATGTTGCTGAATTAAAGAAACACAGTTCAGAATTCAGGGACGTCAACACAGCTAGAGCTTTCAGGGCAAAACAGCAGAGAGGAGAAAGCTACACAAAGAGGGAACTCCAGAGATCAGCAGAGGAATCCTCTCTCAAGTCTTCTCCAGAGTATGGTGTGTGTGTGTGCTGAGAGAGAGGGAGAGCGAGAAAGAGAGAGAAACTCAAGGCAAGAAACACCAGAAAGCAGTAGGGAGAACAATCCCCAGAGTTCATGCAGGGCTTGGAATAGTTAGTGTTCCTACTAGTGAGCATGGAAAAGCCTCTTAATATATACAGAATCAAGTAAAATCCCAAAAAGGTATCGCCTTAGTATTGGTGACAAATTACCTTAGGTTAAAGGCTATTATCCACCCACAGTAAAAAGGTTTAAGAGCCAGAATTGAAGGACTCAAACTGATACCAAGAAAATTAACCACATCCTAGCACAAAGCCCAACAAAGGAACACAACAAAATATAGCATCTGGCAGTGTTAAATTAAAATGCCCGCTCTCCATTCAAAAATTACCAGGCACATCCACTCCAGTGAAATATTTTTTAATATAAGGATTATGGTTAGAAAAAAGAGGTAAATATCAGAAGAAACCTGCTCAAAATGTGCCAAGTGGTTGTTTCTGGGGATGGGAAATGGAGTGGAAAGCTGCTAAGGGCTGCTATTTTTCTCTAAAAGCATTATAGACCTATTGATTCTTTAAATTATGTGCATATGTAATTTTGTTTAAAAGTCAAAAAATATAAATTAAAAACTACTACCATACTTAGTATGAGAATTAACATTTCTTCTCTTAATGAGGACTAAGACTATAACTGGAAACGAATCTAAAATTTCATTCCAAAGCTTGTATCTCTTGGGTATCTCCAGCTTAAGGAGAATACTTTTGTTTTTAAGTCCCGAGGTGAAGTATTCTGAGGACCTCTGGCCTTTTCCACAGAGAATTTCATGGTTTCTACAGGGTTAACTTAAACTTTCTGTACAATGTTTTCCTCTGACATTATAACTTATTTGAAACAGTTGACAATATTATGCAACGAGAGCAGTGTATCACAACTATTTTGGGGGAAAATAGCAAGAAAATGAGTTTTTTTGGAAATGGAGTTCATTAAAGTTTAACTTCCTCATGCCCCACAAAGGCACAAAGTCTAGTCTCCATCAGGTGTAACAGTCAAAGGCTAGAGACCAATAAAGAAAAGTGGATGCTGAAGTAACAAACATCTATTTCTTACCACCTGCTCCTTCCAAAATGCCCCGGACTACTGCCTGAACACCGCTGGGTCTCATCAACCTTTCAGAGAGGAGCTGCCCACACAGACGCCGGAGCCAAGCTGGGGCCCGGCACCTAACTTGCATCTTCCCTTCTGAGCAGGACTGAAAAAAGAAGGGAAATGTGTGAATGAATGTCAGCACAATGGATAGGATTTTTTTTTTCAGATAGGAGTTACAGAAATTAAAAATATACAAATATATTGAGTCACACTGATAATTAACAGTATGCTATACAGACTTCAAAAGGGAAAATTTTTTTCTTTAAAAAAAAAGGGGAGGGAGGAGTTCCCTGCTGGCCCAGTTGTTAGGATTCTTTCAACTAGGATTTCTTCGACTTTTGCTGCCATGGCCTGGGTTCAATCCCAGGTTGGGGAACTTAGACCCTGCAAAGCCATCATGGCAAAAAAAAAAATCTTTATAAAGAAAAAAAAAAATCTTTGTAAACATTTATAAAATCTTCTTCAGCCTCACTTTTAATTTTAAGGAAGTAAAAACACAGTGAAATTTCTTCAAGTAAAGTATCAAGTGAAATTTCAAACCCAGAAATATACAAATATGCTTGTGAATAAAATACAGATTTGGGGGACACAAGATCCATGTAACAAATCTGAACGCAGGCCTTACAATCAAATGCAGCTTCCAAAGGAGACTCACCACCAAGAGGAGAGGCCACAACAGTGAGCGGGCACTCCTGTCCTGGCCTCTGAGGTCACAGCTACTGTGATTCCTTTTGACACAGCAGCTTTAAGAAGAGTTAGATTTCCTCAAGAACTCCTTTTTGAGAGTTCTGTGGCACCACCATGAACAAAACAGACTTGCTGTCCCTTATTTTGGGCTGGAGTGCAAATTATAGTGGTCATTCATTGTGTTTAACTGTGTGAGCATAAAACGTAAGTGAAGGAAACATTTAACCCCAACTAGTTTCTAATTATTAATAATTAAGAGAAATTTGAGGGGGTTGATGTGCTGTGCACTGTGTTAAGTACCCCCCCACAATCACAAAAGGGACTTTACAAGGAAGGTACTGTTGTCACCCCCATTTTACGGGTAAGGAAAGTGAGGGATGGAAAGGCTTACTAATTCCAACAACTGCACACTGGGGTTGAATTCCAGTGTGCCTAACTCCTGAGCCTCTGGCAAACTGTGGACTCACTCAGAGAAGCAGAGCATGAGCAAGAGGGTCCCAGTATGAGGCTCTAATAATATTCTAGGGATGAGATGAAAATGACTTCAACAAGGAGATGTCTTTGTAGTCAGCTTCAGCTGGTCCTACAGTTAACTGTTTTGACCCTTCATGCTTTTTTTTTTTCCCCTTCACGCTTTTTAAAAAAAAAAAAACATATTTATTTATTTGGCTGAACCAGGCCTTAGTTGCAGCATGTGGGATCTAGTTCCCTGTCCAGGGATCGAACCCTGACCCTCTGCATTTAGAGCACAGAGTCTTAACTCATGGACCACCAGGGACGTCCCATCCTTTGGACCTTCATAGTTTACTAACCTAAACTCATAATAAAATTTAGGTACTAAAAGAAAATAGATAATTCCAGCTACATCACCAAATTGAATCATTTTGGATAAATAATTAGTTTTAAGGAAAAAAGAAACTATATTATGCTGAGCAGAATATATACTATTACATTTTTTAAAAAAAGAGATCTAAGAATTAATAACTCTAGTTTTAAGTTTCGTTGACTTCAAATACTCCATTCAAAGAATAAGATGTCCAAATCCTTCTGCCAGAAGAATACTGTCAAACAGCAAAATTTTAGTTTAAAAAAAAATACTCAGTTTGAGAATGAATAAAATATATTTTTGTCATAAGCCCTAAAAATTATCACAATATTATTGGGAAAAGTGTCCATTTTTCATTAGAAGAAAAATCCCTTAAAATTATTCCAGTTGGTATAATTTAGTTTGGCAAATACTATTTAACAATCTAAAAGACGAAACAGGATTCTATTAGACTAATTTCCAGGAGAAGACAGTTGTTTAGTCACTCAGTTATGTCCACCTCTTTGCAACCCCATGGACTGTAGCCAGCCAGGCTCCTCTGTCCATGGGATTTCCCAGGCAGGAATACTGGAGTGGATTGCCATTTCCTTCTCCAGGGGATATTCCCCACCCAGGGATCAAACCTGGGTCTTCTGCATTGCAGGCAAATTCTTCACTGCTGAACTACCACGGAAGAAGACAGTACGCGACACTCTATCATTAAAGCTTCACCCACAAGAGTGCCCAGGCATGCATACCTGGGGCGGTCCTCCCTGGAGGATAAGTAATTCTCGGACTGCTAATGGCTGATATACTTGATCCAAGATGTCTCTTAGGGCCTTCCTCGATAGGGCTCTCTCTTCTTCAGTTAACACCTAAAAGAAACATGTCCTTGGCATCTGTGAGATACAAAACAGGCAAGCAAAGGAAGGTAATGCTCTGCAACAGTGAACAAAGATGTTTGTGAGGGGAGCAGAAGGCTGACTTCTTTTGCCTCTTTTTTGGTTTTTAACTTTTTTATTTTGTATTGGGGTATAGTCGATTAACAACACAATGATATGTGAGGTGGATAGCAAAGGGACTCAGCCATTTATATACACGCATCCATTCTCTCTCAAACTCCCCTCCCATCCAAGTTGCCATATAACAATGAGAAGAGTTCTATGTGCTATACAGTAGGTCCTTGTTGGTTATTCATTTTAATTCTTTTGCCTCTTGGTTTCCTTCCATTCAGAGGAAGCTATAATAAGGAAACACCCCGGCCCCCTCTCCATTCCCTCACCCACTCTGGGCAGGAGATTGCATCCACTCATCCAATTGCTGAGTTCTGGCACACACAGAGGAGCTTGCCCCTCTTCAGTCTCTTGGGCGTGAGCGCAGTCTGTTCTGCTCTTCTGTGCCACAGATTTTTCAGGGGCATGTCCTCTGCATTGGGGCAGAAGGAGCTGCAATTTTCTACCATCCTTTAAAACTGGGTGAGAAGTGCATCTCATTGTGGAATGCACTGTTAGGAGATCCATGGGTCGGTCTCTATAGACCTTCCAGCTCTGCCTTGATGAGTAATAAAGGTGACATTCTGACTTGTCATCTCTTACTCTGTTAATGGTCTTTTCATTCACTCAGAATTTGGGCAGCAAAGAGGGTGCTGTTTAATTGGGTCCCTGCTCCAAGCCACAAGAGACTGACCTCCTTTGGGGGCTTCACAGTTAAGACTTAGAATCCTGCTCGTTGTGATAGTAAATTGTGCTGCAGATGCTGATCAGAGCAGGAGCTGTTGCAGAACCTGTCCAGCTTCATACCGTCCACCCACCATGTTTCCCTTTCTCCTTCCACCCCATTACTTGGTCCTTTCTGTGTTTCCCATTTCTTTTCTCTCTTCTGCCTGAGTCCTCTGGGTACCTCTTAGCTCAAACAATAGTCATAAGACCTGCTCCAGACCCCTCATCTCAAGGAAGTGCAAGCAGCAGGCACTGATGGAGCTGTCAAGACGCACACCCTGTTGTAAAGAGCACAGAGCTCTCCTCCGCAAAACATAAGGGCACTGGAGGAGACCATGATTTCATGTGACTACTCAGGTGACCGTGGCTTTTAAATGTCTTCTGTTTTATTTTCTTTTGTTAGCACAGGGAGAACAAACAGAAAAGGAACAAGTTGGAGGGTGACAGAGACAGGTTGACAGAAAGATGAGGTGAGTGGACGTGATAAAATCTGGATGCAGACACTAGTTACATTTACACCTTCACAGCGTCCTCTGTTTAGGTTCCTGTGCTAAGATTGGCAGTGCTCTCATGGGGAAGCAGTGGTCCCTGTTATGTTACACTTGTGAGTCTTGTCTCCCCAGCGACTGTGTGAGCTGTTTGAGAAAATGGCCACGTCTAATGCTTTTTTATCCTTCACATCACTTTATTGTCTAGATGCTCAAATCCTTACTGACTGTCAACAAAACATTTGACTGTACCTTTAACACCTAACAGTAACAACCAACACTGACTGGATTGTGCAGGGTACCCAGTGCTTGCATACTTCATCTCACTTAATCTTCCCAAGAACTTAATGAAGGAGGCGTAAACAGTTTAATATTAACATTAATAGTAGTAACTTTTTGGTGAGCACTGCTGCGTATTGGGCCAGGTAACTTACACACATTATCCTTATTCCTCACAGCCACCTTCCAAGGTAGGTATTGTTTTTTTCCTCAAGGCAGGCATTAATAAACACATTTTACAAAGGAGGAAAGAAACAAGAGATTCAAAGAAATAGCTTGCGACCGCTGTTTCAAAAAGAAGGGAACAGGTGAAATGGACTCTCCAGGAGTGAAAGGACTCATACTTAATAAATGAAAGGTCCAATCCCCTAAAAAGATTCGTCTATCCACCAGAGATGCTTAGGCATTTAACAAAAATTCTAGGTCTTTCCATCAGCACTTTTCCAAAGAACTGAGATGATCTCTTATAGCAACCACACACAAGTACACACAGAGATTCTCACACACTCTCTCTCCATGGATGCTTACCTCTTCCTCAGGACTTAGCAGTGATCTCTTGCTTGGGCAGAACCCCAGCTGACACAGACCTGCTGCAATATCCCCAAAATGGCGGCAGAAAACCAGGCTCCCCAGAGACGCATGCTGAGCAACACTGAGGAGGACCCTGCAGCTCGTGTACAGCCTCCGGGCAGCGCTGGGAGCAGCACTGAGACACACCACGTCCTGAACGACGGCCCCAAACTCAGTCCTGTATCTCAGAGGGACTCCAACACCAGGCACGAGATAGGGGCAGACACCCAAGGTCACTACAAACTGCAAAACTGACTGGACAGTCTTTTGCTGGGAGACGCTAAGCGTGTCCGGGCTGAGGGCAGGAGCAGTTTCTGGAGTCTTCGGGTTGGGTTTACCTGGATTGAAATCAGCTGCCAGGCGGAGCATGGTTTCCTTCAAGCACAGCAGCAGCAGTAAGGTCTGGGAGGTAAAATGCCAGGTGACGTCCATAGAGTCTTGCGGCCATTCTGCCTTATTAGCAATTTCATCCCGTAGGAGTTTCAGTATCTTCCAGTGAGGATCTTTCAGAAACTTGTCCTCCAAAGCAGACAGGTTAGATTTTAAAGTAGCCAACAGGACGTCATGTTTCGTGATCTGCAGAGAATTTGAGCCTGATCCTTCTGAAGAAAAAGCAATCAAATTACATACATGGAAAACAAATTGTGCTTGCCTCCATGAGGAATGCCTTGCCCACTCCATTCATCTTCTGAAACCTAACTCAGATGTCGTTACTTCTAGAAAGAGGCCCCCAACTGTGCCTCCCCAGCCAAGGCAGAATTCAAGACCACATTTCCTATCCTACCACAGCACTTTGCATGTAGTTAGAATTATGTTCATAACACATTATATTAGGTTAGACAAAAATTCATTTGGGTTTTGATAGCATTCTATGGAAAGACCTGAACAAACTTTTTGGCCAACCTAATACTTCATGGAGTTTGTTTCCATTCCCCACACGTTCTGAGGGGACAGGGTGCTTGCTGCCCCAGAACCAAGAGGCCAGATCTTAATCAACTTACTGGGCTGAAACTATAGCCAGAACAGAAAACTAAAAAGGTAAACATTTACCACAGAAGGCTCATTCAAACTGTTCTAGATCCCAGGGATAAGGCATTGAAGAAAATAAAGTCTTTTCCGTCATAAAATCAGAACCAGTGAAGCAGATCACAGAATATGGACACAGGATGCAAAGAAATTAATTCAATCACGTACGGTCCCTAATATCTAGTCTCAATTTTTCCTGAACTCTCCCAATATGGTCTTTCCTGCCCTCTGCTGGTGAAGGAGCTCACGCACACTCTCAGCAGCTGACATCCTTGCTGACTCCCTCCTTGAAACGCTCCTCTTAGGTTCTAGGGCAGCAAGCACCCTGTCCTGGTTTTTCCCTCCTAGCTCAACGGCCATCTCGAAATGTCTCCTCTACTGGTTCTTTTCCTCTCCCAGATATCAAAGTGCTCCAGGGCTTGTCCTAAACTCTGGATTATCTTCCTTGACAGTTTTATTACCTGCCTGGCCCAAGACTACCCTCTAAGTTTCAGAGACATATTTCCAACTGCTGAATGAAATCTCCACTTAGATATTTCTTAGGCTTTTCAAATTCAACAAATTACTGATTCTCCCAAGTACCTTACACTCCCAAGTACAATCTAACCTGGTTACTAACTGGTTATATCTCCACCTTTTTCTTTTCTACAACCCATCACCAAGTCTTTCCTGTTCTGCTTACTAAATCACTCTCAAGTTTATTCATTTTTCTCCATTTCATGACTACAACCTTTTTCAAAGTCATGAACATCTTTAACGTGAAGTACAGCAGCACCTTCTTGACTGGCTTCCCTACTTTCACGCTCCCAAAAATTTACTTTTCACACATCAGATCCTCTTAATATTTAAAATAGATTTCTCTTCAGAATTCCCTGGCAGTGTAGTGGTTAAGACTCTGCCTTCCAATATTGGAGCACAGGTTCAATCCCTGGTTGGGGAACAACCTAAGATTCCCACATGCCACAAGGTGTGGTCAAAAATTAAAAATAAATAAATAATAAAACAGATTTCTCTTGGTGGAAGCACACACACACATTCCTGATGTGTGTACACCTAAAAGCGGAAATGCTGAGACACAGGTATCCAGAATCTCAATCCAAATATTATCTCCTCAGAGGTGGCCTTCCTTGACCACTCTAAAAGCCTTGCTCCACACTATCAACTCTGTGATAACACCCAATTTATTTCCTCTATAGTACTTATCATAGTCAGTAATTATTTTATTGGTATTTTCTTTCTTCTCTATTAGAACTCAAACTTAATGAGGGTGGGTACCACGTCTCTTTCATTTGGTCAGTGCCTTGCACAGCTTACATAAAGTAAGCCCCAAACAAGTATCTGTTAGTTGATTGAATAAAAGAATGAATGAAGAGTGATAATAAAGATCTCCTAAGAACTCCTGTAAGACCAAGCCTCTCACAGATAACTATCAACTCTGAACAGAGTAAAAAGCAAATATCTGAAGGTGACTGAAGGTAATGAAAGTGAACAAAAACTAGAGAAGGCACCCGAAAGGAAAAAAAAAACAGCACTGAATAAGTTTCCTGCTCTTCAGTCTGGTGTTAGGTCTTTGCATACCAAAAACACTAGAAGAAACTCATCTTACTGACTTGAAAATCAAAGCACAGAATTCAGGGCAACTACAGCAGGTGGAAAATAAGAAATCTCAGAAAGTACAAAACCAGAGAGGAAGAGCTCCCAGTTCTGCACAGTCACTTCAGTTCAGTCGCTCAGTCATGTACGACTCTTTGCAACCCCATGGACTGCAGCATGCCAGGTTTCCCTGTCCGTCACCAACTCCCGGAGCTTGCTCAAACTCATCGAGTCGGTGATGCCATCCAACCATCTAATAAAAACTGTGCTTAAATCTGTGTCTAATCTCTGAACTAAGCATCTATGGGAAGAACTTTAAATACCTCAGCTAAAATGGAAAGAACTGAAAAGAGCTGCTGCCCATCGCAGAAGAGACAGAGCTTAGAGTATGAATCAGTCAAATGAACTGCCCACTTTAGGGAACTCCCTGGCGATCCAGTGGTTAGGACTCAGCACTTTCACTGCCATGTGCCCAGGTTTGATCCCGAGTCAGGGAACTATGATCCCACATGTCCCATGGCATGGCAAAAAAAAAAGCCTAATTAAAAACCAAACCAAACCAAAAAAGATCAATCCTCTCTGGAGGACTATAACAGAATCTAGAGTTTCACCAGCATATCCTTCATGATGTCAGTTATACAATCCAAAGTCCTAGACCTGATGAAGAAACATGAAAGTGATCCACCTCAAGAGAAAGACATTCAAATAGAGACTGATCCAAGATGATTCAGGTGTCAGACTGAGCAGACAAAGATTTTCAAGCAACTCTTATAACTGTGTTCAAACATATGATGGAAAGTACTCATTATGAATGAACAAAATGCAGACACTCAGCAAAAAAGTAGCAAGCATTTCTTAAAAACCCAAATGGAAATACTACAATTTAAAAACAAAATATCTGAAATTTTTTAAAACATCAATGGATGGATTTAACAGCTTTGAGATGACCACCCCAAAAAAGTGAACTTGAAGATATACCCCTAGAAATTACCAGTCTGAACAACAAAGACAAAAAAGATTTTATAGAAAAAGAGCCTTAATATCTGTGAACACTATCAAATGATGTATTTGTAATAAAATAGAGAGTAACTAGAATAAAAGGAGAGGAGAGAAAATGGAGCACAAAAGGATGTGAAGAAATAATGATCAAAATTTTCCAAAATTTAGTGAAAAAGCATAACATTTACAGATTCAGTAAGCGCAGTGATGCCCAATCAGGATAAGTAGAAAGAAAATCACATCTAGGCATATGATAGTCAATCATTAAAATCAGATAAAGATCACACTGATATAGGGCAGAAACCAACACAATACTGTACAGCAATCATACTCCAATTAAAAATAAATAAGTAAAAATTAAAAATTAGACAAAGAGAAAATCTTGAAAGTAGTCAGAAAAAAAAGTCAGCATAGGAGACCAATGCTATGAATGAACTTATCATCATAAGCAATGACTGTTAAAAGATAATGGAAAAACATTAAAGTGGTAACAGGGTAAAAAACAAACAAAAAACAACCACCACCCCCTGATGTGATGACAGGAGGGGGGAAAAAAAACCACCTATCAAGTTTCAGTTCTATATCCAATAAAAAGTAACCTTCAAAAATGAAAGGAAAAGGAAGACATTTTCAGATCAATGAAAACTAAGATAACTGTCTGCCAGCAGATCTGGAACACAAACAAATGCTAAAGGAAGTTCTTCAAGCTGAAGGAAAACAGTACCAGATGGAAACTTGGATCTTCAGGAAAGAAGGAAAAAGCATCAGAAATAGTAAATATGTGGGTAAATATAAAAGATTCATTTGTTTCCTCTTTATTTGTTTAAATACATATAACTGTCTAAAGTAAAATCTATAAATCTGTATTATGGGGTTTATATCTTATAAAGACATAATAAACATGAAAACTATAACATAAAACCCAAAAGGGGTGGAAAGCTATAAAAGAACTCTTACACAAGGTTTTCATGTGTCCTGCGAAGTGGTACAAGATAAATTCTAAGCAGATTGTGAAAAATTATGATGTATATTGTAATTCTAGTATGACTACTAAAAAATGTAATGCAAAAAGGTGGACTATGGTTATAAAACTATAATAAAATGCTGAAAACATAAATGAAATCAAACAACAGACTTCAAAAATAAAGTTAATATATCTTCTAAGAAAGATGCAACTGATGATAACTAAAAGGGTGTTAACAATACATTATTTATAAGAGTGTAAAATTAGAAATACACCTTGAGTAAATTATAGTCTACCTGCTTCTAACATACTATATTTTATATGCAACATTTGTTTCGCTTATTATCCTCTCTCCACCAATGAGAACAAAAACTCCTTGAGGACAAGGATATTGCTGTTTTGTTCACTGCTTTGTTCTTGCCTGGAACAAGGTCTGTCTGACACAGTAGCTGTTCAAAATAAGTAGTTATTTATTGAATGAATGAATGATGGATGAATTATTTGAAGCCATTATACTATGATGAACATTATTCAATGACATGTTCACTAAAAATATTCTAAAGTGAACAGAGCATGAGATACTACATGGGGAAAAGATATGAACAGTTTACAGAAAAAGAAATGCAAATTGCTCTTAAACATGAACATATGATCAACCTTGCTCCTAAGAGAAAAGTAAATTAAAACTATACCGAAATATCACTTCCCATCTATCAAGTGGCTAAAATCCAAATGTTTTTATAACACATTGTGTGTTTCATGGAAACACACACTTTCATACATGGCTGGTAAGAGACTAAAATGGTACATTCCCTAAGAAGAGAAATTTGGCAATATCTAACAAAATTATATAGGCATTTAACCATTGGCCCAACAATCCCTCTTTTAAGAATCTATCCTATAGATAGATGCACAGGCAAAAACGCAAAGTGGCACACACACAAAGCTTACTCTTGGCCGTATTGTTAGGCAGGCAGCAGTAGGGAAGCGATGGGGCTGAATCAAAGTGCGCTTTGT